GTTATGCTGCCATTTGTAAGCCATTGCTCTATTCATCAATTATGTCTCCCATCCTGTGTGTTCGTATGGTGTTGGGAGCCTATGTGGCTGGATTCTTTGGTACTTTATCCCTATCATGTTCTTTGCTTCAGCTCCACTTCTGTGGGCCTAATGTCATCAGACACTTCTTCTGTGATATGCCCCAACTTTTAATGCTATCCTGCACTGACACTTTCTTTGTGCAAGTCTTGACTGTTATATTAACAATGATCTTTGGGATAGCAAGTGTCTTAGTTATCTTGATATCTTATATCTATATTGTCATTTCCATTTTGAAAATCACTACATCTAAAGGCAGGTCCAAGGCATTCAACACCTGTGCTTCTCATCTGACAGCTGTTTCCCTCTTCTATATCTCAGCTAACTTTGTCTATTTCAGTTCCAGTTCTGGTGGTTCCTCCAGCTTTGACAGATTTGCATCAGTCTTCTACACTGTGGTGATTCCCATGTTGAATCCCTTGANCTAGCACCCCTCACATTCCTACATGCAGGTATAGCTGCCATTCAAGGTTATCTTTCAGAAAGCATTGATAATAATAGTCAACATCTACTGAACAATTACTATGTGCTGAGAATATGCATGAATTTCCACTTGTAACCCTCCCTGTAAACTCTTTGGAGAAAAAGATTGGCACACATGAAAATGGTAATGTTATTATTTCATCTTAGACAGCAATGTATTCTTTTGTCTTTTTCTGATATCAGGAGCATCAAGCCAATGTTTGGAGGAGGAAATATTACAGAGGTCACCTACTTCATCCTGCTGGGATTCTCAGATTTTCCCACAATCCTAGAAGTGCTTTTTCTCATATTCCTGTTTATCTACATTATGACTCTGACCTGGAACCTAAGCCTCATTGTTTTGATAGGGATTGATCCTCACCTCCATACACCCATGTATTTCTTCCTCAGTAACCTGTCTTTTGTAGATGTCTGCTATGTCACCTCTACAGTCCCCAAGATGCTCTCCAACTTCTTCCAGAAGCAACAAACCATCACCTTTGTGAGTTGCATTCTGCAGGACTTTATCTTTTCAACGATGGGACTGAGTGAGTCTTGCCTTATGATGGCCATGGCTTATGACCGTTATGCTGCCATTTGTAAGCCATTGCTCTATTCATCAATTATGTCTCCCATCCTGTGTGTCCGGATGGTGTTGGGAGCCTATGTGGCTGGATTTTTTGGTACTTTATCCCTATCGTGTTCTTTGCTTCAGCTCCACTTCTGTGGGCCTAATGTCATCAGACACTTCTTCTGTGATATGCCCCAACTGTTAATGCTATCCTGCACTGACACTTTCTTTGTGCAAGTCCTGACTGTTATATTAACAATGATCTTTGGGATAGCAAGTGTCTTAGTTATCTTGATATCTTATATCTATATTGTCATTTCCATTTTGAAAATCACTACATCTAAAGGCAGGTCCAAGGCATTCAACACCTGTGCTTCTCATCTGACGGCTGTTTCCCTCTTCTATATCTCAGCTAACTTTGTCTATTTCAGTTCCAGCTCTGGTGGTTCCTCTAGCTTTGACAGATTTGCATCAGTCTTCTACACTGTGGTGATTCCCATGTTGAATCCCTTGATTTACAGTCTAAGGAACAAGGAAATTAAAGATGCCTTGAAGAGGTTGCAGAAGAAGACAGTGTACCGCTAAGGTCACAGATTCTGAGAATTCTACAGATTAGACCTGTCAGAATTTCCTTAACTCACAATAACATGCACATACATGGAATATAACAAAAATTCTTTACTGCTTTTGGACAGAGAAACCTGAATTTGACACAGACATATGCCAATATGGACCAACAGCTGACTCAATGCCATGGAAACACAGTATCTGTAAGTCCCGGAGGTCCCTTATTTTCACCCTACATTCTGGACAGCCTCGTCATTTACAAATCTGTCCACAAGCAATTGTGCAACAGCAAGATTTAACAACTTTTTGCTTCTTTTGGAAACCTTAGGACTCTACCCCTAGAGAAGAAATTCCTGGGGGAGGCTCAGAGGAGTCCAGAGACCCATCTCCTAAATGTTCTGATGCAATCTAATAAAGACATGGTGGTAATAACTGATTATTGTGTTTCTGAACAGTTAGGAATGAAAAGACAGGGTTTCCACTATTGAAAAGAAATAATCCTGTACATTGGCTTTGTTGTGCCTCCTGCAAAGACCAATCTGAGATAACTAAGGTTAGTCTAAGGCCCTCTCAGTGCTAATAGTCTGATAAGTTTTTGTTTATAGCCTTGTGGCCACTTCCTTAGCTGTAGCATAAGGAAGGTAATTTGAATGATCAAAGGTGACGGAAAGAAGAATACAGTCTATTCAGTGCCATTTATTTATGAGTCTGATGGCTTAATTTCTTGCATCCCAGTGGAGATTTATGATGGGAGATGATATTCAAAGTCCATCCATGTCACAGTCAATAACAATATTTGATATTGGGGAACTCAGGTCTCTCTCTCTCCCAAGAATCTGGAAAACCCACCCTATACTGACAAAGCCAATGGGACCACACTACCACATTGTTTTTTATCCATGTCGCAGTCAATAACAATATTTGATATTGGGGAACTCAGGTCTCTCTCTCTCCCATGAATCTGGAAAACCCACCCTATACTGACAAAGCCAATGGGACCACACTACCACATTGTTTTTAATATTTCAAGCATATGTTTATTTACGGTTACTGTGAGGAGACCTATGTGAATTTAATGTAGTAATATAGTCACTGAATATTCAAAACTGCAAAGACTAAGGACAAATATGAGAAACTGGTTTATAACATGTCATATTGCCTGTGTTCAAGATTTCGTGTTCTAGAGATTTTGCTGTTAGTGTGTAAGTGTGTATCTTAGAATTGTATGGTTTTATCAGGAAATTCAGTAGATGGAGTAGAATAACTGTTATTTTTAATGCTGATATTTTCCAGGAAGCTACAAAAGCCAAGAGAGGAAAGAGTAGTATAGACTGGGTTCTCATTTCTTGTCAGTTTTCCTTATCTTAAGAAGGAAATAAAGCTTGTGGTTTTAGCTCTGGGTTTAAAAGAAGATCAAGATATGTAACAATGCTGACTATTGATTTTCTGGGTTTCCCAGACATGGGCAGGTGAGAGAAGGGGGAATGTAGAACCTCGGATGAATATGAAGGCTTGTCTCTTGCCAAGGAATCAATGCAATACGAATTGAGGGTGTGTGGACTCCTATCCAGGCATAGGTATGTCTTTTGATGCCTTGTTTTTTAAGGCGTGTAAAAATGTATGAGAAGTCTGTTCCTAAAGATCCACGAGGGTTTCAATAGGAAACAAACCTATGTTAGGGGTTATTGGAGGATATTTCTATAATATTGCCCAGATCCACTGCTTGATGGGCTCAGATGAGCTCAAGGAGGTGATAAATAAAAACTGCTGCTGGGAACTGGAAGTTAGTGCTCTGGGAGCTGCAGTGGATGGGGAATTTTACTAGGAAATTATGCCTTTTATGAACTGCCTCCATGTACTGCTGTTGAGAAGCATTAGCTATAGGTACTGATGGGTATTGTCATTAAAGCATTGTTTTAAAAAAGAAAACTGGGGAAAATAGAAGCACAGTTATTCAGACTTGTTCCTGAAGAACATTTAGACCAATTGTACATTTCAGTTTCTACTCTTAGCTAAACCACATATTCTAATGCAGGCCAGTCTATGGGTATGAAATGATAATTTAGCTTGCCCACAATAATTTCACTGAGATTTGGCAATGTAATGCTTTCAGGGGAACAGTCAATCTGCCAGCCATCACTAAGGTCTTTCTAGATAATTGTGTCAAGACGGGTGGTAAAGATGAAAAAGGAAATAAGAAAGGATTCCCGTCCTCATAACTAGTTAGGAGCCAGAGCCATATGTACAATAACAAATTCTACATTTCAGGGGTAGTTCAATGAAGGATGATTGAAATGAACCTACAGACCAAGGAAGGAGAGAAGAAGTAAAAATTCAGTGAATTAGTAGGAGGTTAATAGAAAGTTTAGTCGAGAGGAGGCCCGTGAGCTCAATTTCACAATATTAATTTAAGAAAACAGAAACATATTCCTAGTAGGTGAGTAAGTAGCAAAGTTGAGTGGGCAATGTGTGCAGAGGACATAAGTAAGGAAAGTTGACCAAGAATTTAAATGTAACAACTCAGAACTTTACTTTGAATTTAGTGAAGAGTCAACAAGTCAGAGCCATTGAGGCCTTAGAGACTGATCCTTTCTACTCATTCTTATAACTGACCTCTTGGCCCAAATAATCTTATTTAAAAAAACCTAACAATCTCTCTAGGGTACTAAATGCTTTTGTGTATTTTAAAAACTTTTATTCATGTTCTGCTATTGATATTTACAAGAGAATGATCAAAGTCATTATTCATTAAGATCAAGAAATTAGTTATAAAAATGAGAAGAAATTTGAACCCCAAGAAAGTCTGGCATCATTTGATTTTGGAATCTCACTTTCTCACAGACACTGACAAGGTCAAAATAATAGAGAAGGAGAAGCAGAGCTTTAGAGGAGGGCAGACTCATTTGAGACAAGCATATTCTGCACTTAATGGATCCCAATTCTCCTGACTTCTAGATCTTTCTGAAAAATGTAGCTAGGTCTGTGCATGCCAAGGTGAGAATTTAGTTGTTAGTTGTCTGGGGAAAGGGATGATTAAAATTGTGCTTTCTCCCGCACAATTTATATTTCATTAACTCCAATTCTTCCACGAGTGTCATGTAATTTGTTTGGAAAGTGTCTCAATGACACTATTGGGAGGATTAGAGTTAAAAACACTATAACTTTAATTCTAATCCTAACAATGAAAACTCAAAATTGGTTAAAGACTTAAATATAGGACTCCTGAAGAAAACATGGGAAAAACTTCAGGATATAAGACTGGGAAAAGATTTTATGAATATGACCCCAAAAGCATGGCAACAAGAGGAAAAATAAATAAATGGGATTATACCAAACTAAAAAGCTTCTGCACAGCAAAAGAAACAACTAAGAGAGTGAAAAGACAACCTAAAGAATGGGAGAAAATATTTGCAAACTGCACACATGATAAGGGATTATTATCGGGATATGCAAAGAACTGGAGCAACTCAACAGTAAGAAAACAAGTAACCCAAGCAAAACTGGGCAAAGGAGCTAAACAGACATTTCTCATATGAAGATATACACATGGGAAACAGACATATGAAAAAATGCTCAACATCACTCAGCATCAGGGAAATGTAAATCAAAACCACACAGATATCATTTCACCCCAGTTAGACTGGTTATTATCAGAAAGACAGAGAATAACAAATGCTAGCAAGGATATGGAGAAAGGGGAACTTTTCTACACTGTTGGTGGGACTGTAAATTATGCAACCATTACGGAAAACAGTAAGGAGGTTTCTCAAACAATTACTGAAAGAACTGCCATATAACCCAGCAATCCCATTGCTGGGTATATACCCAAAGGAATGGAAATCATCCTGTCAATGGATTACCTTCACTCCCATGTTTATTGCAGCTCTATTTACCATAGACAAGAGTTAGAATTAACCTAAATGTCAATTGACAGATGATCAGATAAGGAACATACGGTATATATACTCAATGGAATACTACTCTACTGTGAAAAAGAATGAAATTCTGCTATTTGTAGCAATGTCAATAAACTTGTAGAAAATTACGTTAATGAAATAAATCAGGCACAGAAAGAGAAATACTACATGTCCTCACAAGTGGGAACTAAAATAAAGAAAGGGCAGGGAGAGAGAGAGAGAGAGAGAGAGAGAGAGAGAGAGAGAGGAAGAAAGAAAGAGAGAAAGAAAAAATAGAGAACGGAACTGTGGTTATTAGACGTGGGAAAGGGGGACGGAGAGAAGGATTGGTATGAAACTAGTTAAGGGTCACAAAGATTGATTAAGTATTGTAAATATGTGTATACTAATTATCCTGATTTGATCATCACATACTGCACACACATATTGATATTTGATTCTGTACTACACAAATATATGTAATCAATAAAAAAAAATTAGAGATATGCACTGGAAAAACCCAAACTTTAATTTACATTAAAACCATTTTATAATTTTGGAAAACTAACCACATGTTGTATATTTAAAAAGTAAATGTTAGAAATTTATTTTATTATTGATTGATTGATTGATTGATTATGCGTATTCATGGGGTACAAAGCTGACTGTCACCACCTGTGTCCAAGATGGATGATCACACTGATACTGTACTATTAGCATGCACCTTAGCACAAATTGCAATTATTCCCTGTGTTCTCCACCCAATTACTCCTTGACCTCCCTCCTACTACCCCCACTCCACTCCTGACAACCTAAGGTATGCTTTCTCTCTCTGCAAGTCCAACCCACCATTGTGGTCTTTCCTTCCTTCCTTTCTCTCTTAGCTTCCACTTATGAATGAAGACATGCAGTACTATCCGCTCTGTATCTGGCTTATTTCACATAACATAATTTTCTCCAAACTCATCCATGTTGTTGTGAATGGCAGTATTTCATTGTTTATGGCTGAGCAGTATTCCACAGTGTATATATACCACATTTTCCTTACCCAGTCATCTGTCGATGGACATTTAGGTTGGTTCTAGCTCTTAGCTATTGTAAACAGAGCTGCGATGAACATGG